CGTGTTTGTTTGGCTTCAGGACGGCATCTAGATAATCTCTCACCTTTACTTTGCCCTTATGCACATTACATTTCTTTCCTAGCTCTCTTGGTGGTTTAGACCTCAAATTAGAAGGTAAAATAAGGTCCAGAAACAATTGTGACCATTTGAGTTTCTATAATACTCATACAAGAGAACTTCTTTTTCCTTTTACGAAAGTGAATATGATTCCTTGCATACAGCTGTGTTTGGTATTTAGCAAGCCAGCTCATGCATTTATTTTGCAAGGCTTTTTTTGGTTTTGTTTTTTAATGTATGCGTTTTGTCACAAACTACAAGGCCCAGCACAATTGAAGGAATTCATAGCTATTTAGAGGATTTACATACTATGGGGAATCCTTTCCAGAAAGGGAAAGAAGCAATAAGAAAATATAAAGCATGCTGGGGCTGCTATCTCCCTGTATTTGACAGAAGATGCCCCTGTGCTGCTTTGCAAGAATTTCCAAACCACTAACGCAAGACAGAATTGGAGAAATCATTGAGACTCATAACAAAATCCGACACACAAAATATTGCAACCTACTCTTGGGAAGTTTTAATGTAAGAGCCAAAGGAGTTGCACGAGAAGAGTTGAGTAGGCAACGAGTTTGCCATGCTGAGCAACAGAAATCTTTCAATATCATCAAGTGATTTGTCCTCATGAGATATTTTCACTGTACCTGCCTTGGAACAAGCAGTGAGCTCCTCTGGGGTCCCTCCCAGCTGGGACCTGAATTTGTATGGCACATGTGTTTCATGGCATGCTCCATATTGCTGGTCACCAGGGACCTACTCTGACCTCACACTTGCAAGGCAATGCACAAGACAGTTCATCCACCAGTTCTTTCAGTCATCCGGGCTAATTCCCCTCCTTTTAATTCCTGCAGGTTTCCTATGAACAGCAGAAATGCACCCAGACACTTTCCCACGCACAGGTCAGTTAAGGCTGATGACTCTCAATCAGTTCTAAAAGGTGGTGTCAAGATATTTAATCACACAGGGTTCCCACAAACTGAAATGACATAACGAGATATTTACAGGACAACATTTTACAAGTTAAAAAGAGTCAGTCTTGGCAGAAACATGAATTATTCCTGCATTTAAATCTAGAAGGTAACCTTTTTTCTTGTAAGTATTCCAGTTGTAGATACATCCAACACTTTTCATCACTGCTTTCTAGTATCAGTCCTCCATCGCTTAAATTGAGACATTTTAATGAACTGAAAAAAACCCTGCATATACTGAAAATACAACACAAGTTGAAATTTTTTGAGAAAAGAAATCACTTAGCCTTTTTCTAAATTAACTTAGTGAAAAATAATGCTGGTTCATTCCTCTTAAAAAAACTCCTACATCTGTCACATGGAGCAACTTTAAGGAAGCTGGGCAAAGGGTAGCCAGGATAAAGTATCTACACCTCTGTCTGTACTTGTGCTCAGATTCTAAGCTGTACAATTCTGTATATGTTGGATAAATTTTAGTTCAGATATGCAGATATTAGGGCTAAGTCTCAGGTCTGTTAAATTGGCCAGGTAGACTTTGTTTATATTTTGCAACAGACCTACTGCTGCACCTTCTGGAAAAACATAGCTCATAAACCTGCTCTATGACAGGTTCTACAAACACGTTCACAGCAGTTGTCTCAGGTTTGAGCATTTGTGCATACTCTGACCATGGTGTCCTGACATTTCCAATAATCTTTAAGTGGTCACCTTCTAGGCATTGGAACCTTTTCCCAATATTAGAGAAAGCTGACTGAGACCCAGAATGTGGGCTTACAAGGTTCTAGGTTTTCCTTCTAAACACAAGAGCAGCTTTTTGCCAAAATAAACACAGCAGATGCAGCTTTTCTTCTCTTTTTTCTTTCTGTGTTTGGGGCCGTACAACTTATACCCAGTCACTAACATAGCTAATTAACACTGTGTTAGTCAGGAAAAAAAAAAAAAGAAGTAATATCAAAAGTACAACATCCTTAAAACGCCTCCTGATATTCACAACATGGACATTTTGATAATGATGACAACTCTTTCTTCACAAAGAAAGAGCTCGTTATTTTTGAGATACATGTTTCTACATCAATTTCTGAAAGGAAATGAACCTTACAAGCAACTATAATTGGAATGCTATCCTCTGCTCTCTCAATACTCATCAACAAAAAATAACAAAAGTGAAAGAAAAATCTCTCAATTGCAATATAAAGACTGCAACTGCCACTTGCTTGATATATATCCACAAGAGAGGTCTGTGAAACATAACAAAAAGCCAAATATTCAGTTACTTTTACTAGAGATCACCAAAGGCCACCCACTAAAGCACAACCACCCACATGGCCATCTTTCTAAAAAGCACCGAAGTAGTTCACCTTCCCAATGCATAACATGTGTTCAAACAAAGTTTTAAGATTTTTGCCTGACACCATGCTCATGATCACAACTATCAAGAGTAGCGGTGATAGATTTTCACACGCTGTTTCTGTTTTTTCATTCATGCCTCTTCCTTGGCTTCAGTTGACTGTTAGTTGCCTTGAACCACACTTTTAAAAGTGTTTAGAGAACTAAAGCAATTCATCCAGTAGTATGAATTTATCTCAGAGGAGTCTGGTTTTCCTCTGACCTCCAGTTTCTCAATACCTCAGAAATCCTTATTCATCTTCCAAAAATTAATATATTGCACGCTCAGCAGCTGAGACAGTAGCAGCTGCTCAAAAAAAAAAGCTACACGCTTTCCTTTAAGAAGTTGTCAGGTCTAGGTATAAACATGGTACTTCATGACTCTTTGTCACAGCATGACCAAGATGTGCACAAATGGTGGCTTTTAAGAAAATGAAACTCAAATGCACCTCCGGGTATAAGGGGGTGCTAGGTCCAAATCATCTAGAGACTACATATCTAGAGAGCAACAGGGTCAACATGAACATCCAAACCTATAAACAACCTGAGAAACTAGAGGCTCTGAACAACCCCACTGGCACATGAAGCAGATATTAGTCAGATTTTGTGGTACCTGGAAACTTTCCATGTAGAACAGGAGGCTCTTTAGATCTTTCTAGACCAAAGCATATCAGAAAATAAAAAAGCAACAGGAACTCAGCACATTTAGGATCTGAGTCTGCTCCCCACACACACACAGATCGCTAGGGCAGTGTAATTGCACCAACCCAACCGGCTCTGCATACTAGTTATACCTTGCATGCAACACAGTCAACATGTTCATGTACCTTGACTCCTTGTCTAGGATATCTGGATTGCTACACATCTGAAAATCCTGGACCAATTACAAAAACTGACAGAAAATGCAAGAGGGGAGCAAACAACCTGTAATGGCAACCTGTCACAAAGGGCAGCAGCTCTGACAGAGGTACTTTAACTCTGAGCTTTTCTAACAGCAATTGACCCACCATGACATTAAGCCACTGCCCATATTCATCCTTGATCTTTTCTTTCTCACTTAATTGCTGAAATATCTTTCTCCAGCTAGCTCTTCAAAGCAAATCAATCAACATTTATGAGATTTCCTTGTGAGGTACAGACATTCGCCAGCATGCTAGCAGAGGAAGATCTAGGAAAGCTTACTAGATCTACTAAAATTTCATACTATTAATAGTATTATACAATAACATAACTTTTTATATATAGCCCCAAGGCTAAACATATCAAAATGAAGCACAGCTGTTTCAGTGGAACACAGCAGCTCTCTTCACTCATCCCAGCATTGATTTCACACCGGGGACCGCCTCAAGCGTCAGCCTGGAATATTTACTACCAAAACACTGATGCGCTGCTCCAGCCAAAAGGGGAAGCAGGAGCTAGCCCGGGGAAAAAGTGGGTTGAGTGAGACTCCCTTTAGTTGTAGAATAGAGATGGTGCGGCTAACGTACACATTCATCCCCGAGTCCTATCCCTTTATTGCTATGTGTTTACATCAATTGCTTAATCACCTCGCGCTCCACAGCCACCCTCCCACGCACAAAACTTCCCCTTGGAAAGCGCCGCTGAAGAGCACATGCCGCCCACGGCTGCGCTGGTCCCAAGGCTCGTGTGCCCCACAGGATATCTCTTCCCCTGGAGAAACATGTGTACGTGTACATAGAATCATAGAATCATAGAATAGATTGGGTTGGAAAAGACCTCC